AAGTACCTGTACAAAGAAAATTACAAAACACTACTTTAGGAAATAAAATAGGACAAGAAGAAATGGAAAAAAATATGCCCTGTTCATGGATGGGGAGAATTAACATTGCCAAAATGGCAATACTACCCAAAGCACTGTACAAATTCATATGCGACCCGTATTACAATACCCGTGATATTCTTAAAGAAATGGAGCAAACACTCCTGAAATTTATATGGAACAATAAGACCCCACAAATTGTTAAAGAATTTCTTGGGAAAAAGAAAATGGAGGAATCAACCTCCTTAACTTCAAACTCTACTACAAAGCTGCAATAATTAAACAGCATGGTACTGGAACAAAGGCAGACCTGTAGACCAATGGAATAGGGTTGAATATACTTACATCTCCTCCCAAGCATATGATCATCTAATCTTTGATAACGGGGAAAGAAAAGTGAAGTGGAGCAAGGAAAGCATCTTTAAGAAATTGTATCTTCAAATTTGTAGCTAATAGTATCTTCAAAGATCTTGTAGCTAATTGTATCTTCAAAGCAAATCTTGTAGCTAACGGTATCGTCAAAGACGTCACACCACAAGCCAAGCAAGTGAAAACAGAAATAGACAAATGGGACTATCTTACACTAAGAAGCTTCTTCATCTAAAAAGAGACAGTGACCAAAATACAAAGACAGTCTACAGAATGGGAAAGGATAATCGCCCAATACGCATCCAACAAGGGGTTGATATCAAGGATATACAAAGTACTGGCTGAACTCCACAAGAAGAAAACATCCAAAAAATCAAAATGGGGTGATGAAATGAACACAAAATTTCTCAAAGAAGAAATCCGAATGGCTAAAAGGCACATGATAAAATGCTCCACATCATTAATCATCAGGGAGTTGCAGATCAAAACCACAATGAGATATCATTTCACACCACAGAGACTGGCCCACATCCACAAGAACAAAAGCAACTGGTGTTGATGCAGAGGTGGCGAGAAAGGGACCCTCCTTCACTGCTGGTGAGAATGCCGACGGGTTCAGCCCTTTTGGAGAACGGTATGGACGATTCTTAGAAAATTAGAAATTGAGCTCCCATTTTACCCAGCAATACCACTCCTGGGAATATATCCCAGAGAGGCAAAAAAGTATAGTTAAAGTGACATCTGTGACATCTGCACTTGTTTGTTCATTGCAGCACTGTTAACAATAGCCAGAATCTGGAAAAAACCTGAGTGCCTGAGAAAAGATGACTGGTTAAAGAAACTTTGGTACATTTACACAATGGAGTACTATGTAGCTTTTAGAAAAGATGAAGTCATGAAATTTACATAAAAGTGGTACTACATGGAAAGTATTATATTAAGCAAAATGAGTCAGAAAGAGAGGGAAAGACGTATAAAGATTGCATTCATCTGGGGAACATAAAGTAACAAAATCGGAGACTAAAACCCAAGAATGGCCGAGATTAGTACCAGGAATTTTGCTCCATGGCTTGGAGGCCAGCTACACATTCTAGGGGAAAAGGGAGCTCAGATAGGGAAGGGAACACCAAATAATGGGTGTTGGAAGGATCCTCCCAGTACGGGAGAAGCATGCTGAAAGTAGACTATAGACCAAACATGATTACCACTCAAAGCCTCTTTTGCAAACCACAACACCCAAAAGAAGAGAGAGAACAAAAGGGAATGCCCTGTCACAATGGCAGGTTGTGATGGGGGGATGGGGGGAGGGAGAGATACTGGTATCTGTGGTGGTGGAAAATGAGCACTGGTGGAGGGATAGGTATTTGATCAATCAAAACCCATGGACAAAAATTTGTAAGTCTACAACTGTACCTCATGGTTTCTCACTAATATTTTTTTTAAAAATCAGTACTGAAGTCTTCAGGATATCCATACCTCAAATAATGAGTGAGAAGAAAGTGATATGAAAAAAAGTTCCATTCACTGTCATACCTCAGAAAATCATGTAGCTCAGAATCAGCTTAACTAAGGATGTAAAGTATCTGTACAAGAAAATCTACAAAACATACTTCAAAAAATAAAAGAGGGCAAGAGAAAATGGAAACATATACCCTGATCCTGGAGTCAAAGAAATAACATTGTCAAAATTGCAATACTGCCCAAATCATTATATAGATTCAATGTGATCCCTCTAAGGAGACCCATGACATTCGTCGAAAACTGATCAAACTCTCCTGAAATTCATATGGAACTATGAGCTCCCACGAATTGCTAAATCAATTATTTGGGTAGAAAACAAGGCTGACCTCACCTTCCCCAACTTCAAACGGTGCTTCAAAGCAGTAATAATTTAAAAAGCATGATATTGGAATAGAGACAGGTCAGGAGATTAGTGGAATATGGTTGAATATCCTGACACTCAGTCTCAAATATATGATCATCTAATCTTTGATAAGGGAATTAGAAATATAAAGTGTAGCAAGCAAAGCCTCTTCAACAATTGTTGCTGGCAAAACTGGACAGCTATATGCAAAAAATGGGCTCAGAGCTCTACTTAACACTGTGCATAAAAGTCAGATCAAAAGAGATTAAAGTCCTCAACATCAGACCAGAATGCATAACGTACATTGAAGAAAAGGCAGGAAAAACCTTCCATGACTTTGAAACTAAGGTTATCTTCAAAGATACTCACCACTGACTAAGCGAGTAGAAACAGAGATAAACAAATGTGACTATCTTAAACTAAGAAGCTTTTGTACCTCAAAAGAAACAATGACCAGAATATAAAGACAGTCTACACAGTGCGTAAGGATATTAACTCAATACCCTTCAGAGAAGGAATTAATATCAAGGATATACAAGGCGCTGGTTGAACTGTACAGGAAGAAAAAACCCAATTCCATCAGAAAATGGGGTGATAAAATAAACAGAATCTTTCTCAAAGAAAAAATTCAGATGGCCAAAAAGCACGTGAAAAAATGTTCTTAATCACTAATCATCAGAGAGATGCACATCAAAAAATGAGATATCCTCTCACACCACAGAGACTGGCACTCATCCAGAAGATCAAAAGCAACCGGTGTTGGCGTGGATGTGTGGAGAAGGGGACTCTCTTTAACCACTTGTGGAACTGCCGACTAGTTCAGCCTTCTTGGAAAACAATATGTCCATTTCTCAAAAAACTAGAAATTGAGCTCCCATTTGATACAGCAATACCACCTCTGGGAATATATTCTGAAGATGCAAAACAGTACAGTAAAAATGACATCTGCACTTGTATGTTTATTGCAGCACTATTTACAATAGCCAGAATCTGGAAAAAAAAAGCCTAGTGTCTGAGAACAGATGACTGGTGACAAAACTTCGGTACGTCTACACAATTGAATACTATGCAGTTGTTAGAAAAGATGAAATCATAAAATTTGCATATAAGTGAATCAACATGGAGAGTATGTATGATGTTATGTGAAATGAGTCAGAGAGAGACAGACAACGAATGACTGCACTAATTTGTGGAATATAAAGTAACTTAATGGGAGACTTACACGCAAGGTTAGTAGAGGTAAGTGCCAGGAGGATATCTTGATGGCTAGGAATCCTGCCTCACGTTCTGGGGGGAAAGGCAGCTGGGATAGAGAATGGATCACTAAGTAAATGATGCTTGGAGGACTAGCTCATGATGGGAGATGCGTGCTGTAAGTCAACTGTGGTCCAAACATGATGGTCACCAAGTACCTGTGTCGCAAAACATAACACCCCAAAGGAGAGAGAGAGTAAAAGGGAATGTACCTACCACAGAGGCAGGGGGGATAGGGTGGGCATGACGGGAGGGATACTGGGAACACTAGTGGTGGATAAAGGGCACTGGTGGATGATGGCTGCTTGATTACTGTATGACTGGAATGTAATCATGAAAGTTTGTAAGTCTGTAACTGTGCCTCACAGTGATTCTTTAAGAAAAAAAGGAAAACAAAGAATCTTAAATGATTAAAAGTAAGTTTGTGAATACTTTACTTACTGGCCCTGAACTGTTAATATATGTACTATACATTATCAAAAATTCTACATTATTAATCACATTTTGTAGGTAATCATCTCCCTAAGAGAATAAAACCCACAGTTGTAATAGTCCTTTGGTCAAAACAGTGTAGGGCTTAGAATATAAAGGATTAAAAGGTGTGCTCTGGAAAGAATTTCATATCAGGAAAAAAATAAAACATCAGAAAATTCTAGAAAAGATGACAAATAGATTGAGTTTCAAATGTGTGCCCATGAAACTGTAGAATAAAACATTTAGGCTATTTTAGATGTAGATGGCATCATGGGCAAAAATAGAATTGGAAACCAATACAATTTTATACTTTAAGGGTACCTGCTTATTGTCTATGTGAAATTCCCCGATCTCTGCTGTTTGACTCATTGAATGTTGGAGTGATTGATGACTCTCTCAATGCAAACAATGACTCAATTTTGGGGATCCTGGATCGTAGTTTCATATAGTCTTGAACAAATGGTATTCCTATGAGACCACTGATTGATAACCAGGAGACCCTTAAGATTGGACAGATTTTGTGTGTTTGTTTTTCTCTCTTATGTGTCTGTCTTTTTGTGACCACCCCCATCTGGCCAGAGTACAAGGTGGTTGTAGAACTAATTTGGCAGGATTCATAACAACTCTACAACCCTGGAGCATTTTTTCCTTCAATATTGCTTATCCTCAACCTTAATGTTAAGGAACAATTGAGTTCTACAATATTCAGTTCCTTGAGTAATTAATTTATAAATTTTTAAATCTTAGTATTTCTAATAAAGTTTGGGGGGAGACATAGAGAATAAATATATATGTCGGTATTTTATTTTATGTTCACCGTATAACAATAAATAAGTTCTTAGTTATAGTTCATCTTTCTTTTGGTATCTGTTTCATATTTTGGTATCTCATTTGAAGACTAGGTAAGTATCTCCCCATATAGGATTGTAATTATTCCATTTATGTGTAATATGATTTCAAAGTTTGTTAACATGCAATCTTTCCTTTTCTGAAAATTTACCTGTCTTCAGACTGGTTGTGCCATTCCAGTTCCCACTTTCTGTCAGGGCAGTAGTCCCACTCTATCTCTTCTGCCATGATGTAGTAGGTTCTTGCAGCCTGATAGCGTTGGCGAGGTGTGGTTTTGTGACCTGGACACTGAGAGACATTATAAATTGCTTTCATCCCTGCTTCTCTGTGGTTGCTTTCCTCGCAGTAAATCTCAAATGTCCCTGAGGAAGGATCAAAGTATGAAAATCAAATATTAATACCTTGTCTCACTTGGAGCATACTGTAGAGAATAGGTAGTTGCAGCTGCTTTCAGATAAAGATCCTCTATACATTATTACTTATTTTGGCCATACCCAGCAATACTCAGACCCTACACTTGACTCTGCTCAGAGATCATGCCTGAGGGCTCAGGAAATCCTGTGTGGAAGGGAATTAAACCCAGGTCTGCTGTATACATGTCAATTACCCTACACACTGTATTATCACTCTGGCCCAGGCTCCTCTATACTTTGAACTAAAATATTTCAGATATATCAATGGGAATGGGTATGGAGATTAACAGTTCTGCTTCTAGTGTCTAAGTTTAAAACTAATCCATATAAAATATATTATCAACTCATCCCACTTTTCTCGCGAGCTTTCATGGTTTTACCACTGAAAAGTCCTATATCCCTAGAAACTCCTCAGTTCTGAGCAAACTGGAATGGTTAGATATCATATCTAACATTTACTCTCTGTATGTAATTGAGTTAATTTTAAATAATCTTTATGTTTCAGTTCTTTCATGCTGAAATATGGTTTGCTTTATTAGACTGTTTTAGTATTATAATGTAATTAATAGAGTAAATGTTCAATAAGTAAAGATATAAATGATATAACTATGATAAGATTATTCAAAGGAACATAAGTGATTAGTTGAACTAACAGGTTTTCCAGTAGCTGGAGAACATGCCTTATGATAGAGTAATTGAAAAGTTATTTTTCATAATAATGAAGTTTTTCACTTTCTCCCATAAAATCAAAACCCATGTACCAATTCAGAGAACAAAATTAGGATGGAGAGAAAGTATGGGTTAAGGCATTTTCCGTAGATGCATCTGACCCTATTTTGATCCACAACATTGCATATAGTCCCGTGAGCACTCCTGAGTGACTATCCCCTTCAAAATAGCAGTGAGGAGGCTTTTAGTGAAATTCATACATGGAAAGATGTCCAAGAACCATAGAGTAAGGAAAGGACAAAGGATGTGACAGCAAAGGCAGGAAAACACGCCACCCTTTGCAATTCCCCCATATTAATATAGGCTTATGAGATATGAAAAAGTAACTTCTTCATTACAGGGATGCTTACAACAAAATCTTAACAATGGTCATGTTTGTATTTGATTTGTTTTTAAGTGATTCTCAGTGCTTATTCCTTAATCTGTGTTCAGGGATAGCTTCTAACTTTTCTCATATGTGGTGCTGAGGAAACCTGAGTCATCAGTGTGCAAAGGAAGCAATGTAACCCACTATACTACCCCAACAGCCCTTTGAAATTTTAACTTTTAAAATTAAATATTTGAATATAAGTATTAAAAGTCAACGTTTTGGAGCTTCCTTGACCTAATATCAACCCAGGTTTTTGTTCAAGTATAAATACAAACTTATAGACAGTTGATCAGGGGAAAATTTATTAGAATCTTTTTGATTCACTTAATACCTTTTATTACAATGTTTCTTACTCTTTTCTATGACTAAAAAATATTCTTTATTTTTAAAAGCTTACTGTTCAATTTGAAAAGTAGACTCAGGCAGAATCCAAACTGTAGATTCAGTACCACTCTCTAGCTTGTTCCAGAATCGAAGAGTGCTCCAAATAAATATGAATTTGATTACCCCTCTCATATATCTTCTTACTATCTCGGAATCTTTATGCATGTTATTATATACATATCATAATATACATGCCCCATTCTCTTTTCCATTACACACATAAATTATTGATGGTGTTTTATTAATTTTATAATTTCCAGTTCATAATTTATGTTTTTCAGAAAGTTCTTCCTGTCTATTCTAGTCCAAATTAGCCTTAACTTTTTTGGGAGACGGGGGCACACAGTTATTCTCAGGGCTTACCCCTAGCTCTTTACTTAGAGATCATATCTGGAGGGGATAGGCTGAGGGGGCCTATTCGGTGTCAAAATTGGAAATCAGGTTGGCCACATGCAAGGCAAGTATCTTACCTACTGTTACTATCTCTTGAAAACAAACTTTATGCTATTGATACTCTAATTCACTTTACTTATAAATAACATATTTAACAACTTTTCTCCTTAAATAAATCCTTTCCAATAATTCATAAATCTTTAAAAGTATTTATACCTTCCCTTACATATCTACTTTACAACTCCTTTATTTCCCTTATGACCATATGTCTTAATCACATAGCTTATTTAAATTTTCTTTAAATTATTTTTTACATTTCCAATATCACTCGCAAGAGAACTTCAATATTTGTTAACCATCTCCTAAGCTTCTTCTGTTCTTTTCAACCATTTTCTACACAAATTATGGGGTCCTCTTTAATGCATATGCTCTAGATACGCTGTTCCCTTAGTTTAAAGGCTCCATTTATTCTCCAAATGCAATCCAAGCAGAAAAGACATTAGAACTCTCTATCCTTTCAAATTTCCCCTAGAACAGAACTCATAAGCCACCGTGTTTTGAACTTCTGATTCCTATACTTTAAAAGTTCTGCTCAGATAAGTAATTTTATTATTGCACAACAATTCTTTAATTTATTTTTAAAATTATGCCTTTCTCTCTATTCCTGCACTCATTTCCTACTCTGCCTCATTTATAAAACGTGTCCCACAAAACTTCTATTATCATTTTGCTTGGAATCATTCTTCAATATTTAAGAATGCCTTATATAATGGAGAAAGTTTTAGCACCTGTGATCCCTAACATCTAAATGGCAGTACTGTTTCTTTCATATTCTCATATCCTCAGACACTATTGCAATTAAAAATAATATTAGCTGCTATAAAGGAAGACTGAGGATGGTGGGTGGAAGGAGGATGACTGGGGACATCGGTGGTGGGAAATATACATTAGTAGAGGGACTGGTGTTGCAACATTGAGTGACTGAGACACAATCATGACCAACTTTGTAACTTTGTATCTCATGGTTATTAAATAAATAAATAAATAAATAAATAATAAATACAGTACTGTACTGGAACAATAGTCCGAGGTAAGACAATTGCCTTGACTTGTAGGCAGCCAACCTGGGTTTGATCCCTAGCACCTCAGTTGGTCCTCAGAACATTATCAGAAGTAATCCCTTAGTGCAGCACTGGGAGCGAGCTCCGAGTAATGTCAGATGTGGCAAAAAATGTAGCCCCACACATTTCTAAATGTTAGCATGCTATATCATTTTGAGAACCACTGAGTCTAATCAATCTATATGGCACTACTTCCAAGAACCTGCTTATATTCATGATGCCTATAAAATCTACTACCCGTCCATTGCCTTTACTTTTCTGTTGTCAGTTTAATTATACCTAAAAGCTAACTTTGAATGTTTGATTTCCTAGGAAAGTTTCACTGCAGTGTCAACTTGTTATAACTTTCTGTGAATTACCATACTGCCTGGGAGATAGTATCATCATAGCTACATACGCACATTGTTTACATATCTTTAATTTTGCAATATGAGGTTTCATTCATCTTATATATATCACTATCCTCCCGTTGTTCATCCATTTGCTCGAGCGGGTCCAGTAACGTCTCCATTGGAGACTTTGTTGTTACTGTGTTTGGCATATCGAATACATCACGGGTAGTTTGCCAGGCTCTGCCGAGCGGGCGAGATACCCTCGGTAGCTTGCCGGGCTTCTCGGAGAGGGGCGGAGAAATCGAACTCGGGTCGGCCATGTTGGCTGTGTGCAAGGGAAATGCCCTACCGCTGCGCTAGGGCTTTATATATATATATATATATATATATATATATATATATATATATATAAAATAAATGACAAATAAATGACACCCTGTTTTGGAAGAATTTAATTTTGTTTTATTTATTATTATTTTTTGCTTTTGGGGTCACATCCAACGATGCTCAGGTGTTACTGCTATATCTGCACTCACTTTTATCTCTGCACTCTGCACTCTCTGCATTCACTCCTATCTCTGCACTTCCTTGTGGCGTTACTCAGAGGACCATATGGGTTGCCTGGGAACAAATCTGGATTGGCAATATGCACGGAAAACTCACTACCCATTGTAATATCACTCTTGCCCAAAGAATTTAATTTTAAAATAACAGAAAAATTAATAGATTTTAATTTAATTTAATTTAATAATTCATTAATTTAATTTAATAATTAATAATAATAATTTAATAAACACATGTCTTTTCGTTCCTTTCAGCTCCATTAAAAGCCATTATAATTTTCTACTTAGGCCACTGGGATGATGGGTAAGAATGAGGACTCAAGAAGTTTTCAGAGATCAACTTCATGTTAAGTATTTGAAAAAGCAAAGTACCAGACTTAAATGATTACTTTGTCAAGGATTCAGATTATCTTTAAGGAATATTGTCCAAATATGTATGAAATATATAAAACTAAAACGTTTAGTAGAAATACCAAAGAATATATAGATTTTTGTAATAAGCAATATTGTCACCTATTTTCTGAAAGATAATGCATACTGAGATGTATAAATTAATTACAATTCTGTTAAAATTCATGGAACTGTACAACAGTGTGAAACACCATGTAACCTATGGAAATCTATGAATATTTTCTATTAACATTATTTCAACTGTTGCAACAAATGTACCAAACCCTATTAGCTACTTTATTAACATTATTTCATCTGTTGCAACAAATGTACCAAGCCTATTAGCTACTTTAACTGTAGTGTAACTTTGTGTGTGTGTGTGTGTGTGTGTGTGTGAAACATCATGAGGTACTGTTGTAGACTTACAAACTTTTGTGCTTGGGTTTCAGTATACAATGATCAAGTTCCCATCCCTCCACCAGTACCCATTCTCCACAACCAATGAACCCAGTAGCCCTCCCAACCCCCCAACCCATCCCCCACCCCCCACCCCATCCTCCCCACCGCGCCCCACCTCTGTGGCAGGGCTTTCCCTTTTGCTCTCTCTTTCCTTTAGGGTGTTTTGGTTTGCAATAGAGGTATTGAGTAGCCGTCATGTTCGGTGTATAGTCTTCTTTCTGCACGCATCTTGCATCTTTCTCTATCTGAGCTGCCTTTTCCCCCAGCATGTGCTGCCAGCTTCCAAGCCTTAGAGCAGATATCCTGGTACTTATCTCAACTATTCTTGTGATTCTAAATGGAATGTATCATGCTAAGTGAAATGAGTCAGAAAGAGAGGGACAGACAGAAAGACTGCACTCATCTGAGGAATATAAAGTAACACAATGGGAGACGAACACCCAGGAATAGTTGAGATAAGTCCAGGAGGTAGTGTAAAATTTTTAAAAATAAAAAAACATACTCTAAAAACTTTATATAATAATTAAATTTTAAAATGCCAGTCCTCGATGAAATCTTAAAGTACATTTAGTCAAATTTTATCATTAAAGAAAGGGAAAATTGGGGGAAGAAAAAGTAGTAAAAAGTAGGGAGGAAGAGTAAGGGAAAGACACAGAATACCACAGTTGGAAGAGACTATTTAAAACCATCTCATGAACTTGTCTCCCAAAGCAAGGATTGTATAAAGTTTTCAAGCAGTCAAGGGACAATAGAGTAAAGAGACAATGTGCCAAAGCCACCGTCTAGCTATAGTGAAATACCATGATGTTGGGCAGCAGCTCCTCTCTCCTTTTATTTTAGAAACAAATATCCTTGTTTCTACTCTCTATTATGCTTGCATCACAAAAGAGAAATAAAGGAAAATAAATATTAAGTGCACACTGAGAAAGGAGAAAACGTAAATATATTTTGAAAGAACTATATATCCTTACTATAACTCTTATTATCTCTCAACCAGTACAGTCTCCAACCTAGACCCATATTCAATAAGCCTCCAAGTCAAAAGTGTTTCGAAAAAACTTACCAGTTCGGTCAGGCTGCATTATAGCCATGATAAAAGTATGTGGAAAGAGCATAGCTGCATTCTTCCTCATACCATGAAGCTGCACAGTATTTCCCTGGAACATTACCCCATGCACATCAGTCTCTGTGCCCAGTCCGAGCAGGTGCCAAGCAACCACATCATCCTTACACATATCCAGCTTGGGCAGATTAGAGAATAGGAACCCATTAATGGCTGTAAAAAAAGAACACAAGACAAAAGGGAAGGATGAGACCTGACTACTCTAACGCTCGCCAACAGCATGGCATTAACTTTGTCTTATAGCTTGAAATTTCTGAGACCTTCACAATTAAACCTGTATCTTAGATATGAGGACCAAAATGGCCTTTCTGCATTCAGCTCCTGTCATATACTACTATGTTTCACATATTACAAAAGTAACCTGCTCTCCACTGCCACAATTCCTTCATGCACAGATAAAAGCACTAGTCTTACCTGTATCCACTTTCTTGAAACTTCCCTTTTTAACTTCAGCAGCCACTTTGATGGTTCCTTAATAATCTATATTTGTTCTTTCTCAATTCCTTTATTCTCAATCCCTTTATAAATTATTAGGGTTTTACGAGGTTTTATTTTCACTTTTCAATCTAATGTTTAATCTAATCTAATGTTTTATTCATATTCTCTGCCACTGCTCTAGTTCTGGACCACCTTATTGCTAGTTTGATCTACTAAAGTTCCTCCGTGGTATTTTCTGTGAAGTCCATTCCGCAAAGTCCATTCTTTTTTCCTTTTTCTTTTATTTTTTGCTTTTTTGGGGGTGACACGTGGCGATGCACAGGGGTTACTCCTGGCTCTGTACTCAGGAATTACCCCTGAATGTACTCAGCAACCATATGGGTTGCTGGAAATCGAACCCGGGCTGGATGTGTACAAGGCAAACGCCCTACCCGCTGTGCTATTACTCCAGACCCTGTTTTTTAATTTTATAGCTATATTGGCTTTGCCTTTAATTTTTAGCAAAATTTAATTTTACTAAGGTAACATAGATTACAAAGTAATTTATATATATCAGATTGACATAAAATGTTCTATCACCAATCCTGCCCCTAGTGTCAACTTCCCTTGACTGGTGTTCCCAGATTCACTATCCCTACCTCCCCATCACTGCAGCCACAAGCTGTGATTTTGACAGGCACCTTCTAAATTTAGATATTAAAGATTGGGCCTTATCGAGATCAGTATCAGGAGGATTACTCCATGGCTTAGAGGCCAGCCGGGCATTCTAGGGGAAAGGACAGCTCAGATAGAGAAGGGAGCAACAAATAAAGGGTGTTTGGAGGATACTCCCAGGATGGAAGATGCATGTTGAAAGTAGACTATGGACCTAACATGATTGCCACTAAATGCCTCTTTTGCAGACCACAACACCCAAAAGGAGAGAGAAAACAAAAGGAATTCCCTGCCACAGAGTTAGGGTGGGATGGGGGGGTGGGGGTGGGAGAGATACTGGGATACATGGTGGTGGAAAATGGGCACTTATGGAGGGATGGGTATTTGATCATTGTATAACTGAAACCCACGGACAAAAAATTGTAAGTCTACAACTGTACCTCATGGTGTTTCACTAATAAAAATATAAAAAAATAAGATTGGGCCCTTCTCATAGTGTCCCATGCTAAAGAAAGCCGTGGCCCTGAACCATTGCCTGGCCCTTGCCAGTGGACTGCAGGCACTGAAGAGGGTCACATAGTGCAAAAAAAAAAAAGATTGGACCTTTTAATTTCAGTGTTGTTCACTCTGTGCGTTGAATATTTAGCTCTATTATTCCTTATTACCACCAATGCACCTAGATCACCTTGAGCCCTGCCTCCATTGTGCCTCACCTAACTTTTCTCCCTTTCATCTTCACTCTACTTCTTTCTTTATACACCCTATACTCTGGAGCAAAAAGTAATCTAGACACTTCCCTTTAAACCACTGTAATTCCTTGTCCAGTTACTCTAAGTACTACGTGTGATATTATATGGCTTGTTCCTCCTTTTCTAGATTACTTCATTTAAAATGGCATCTTTCAGTTCCATCCATGTTGCAGTAAGTGCATAATTTCATCATGCCTTATAGTTGTTTAGTAATCTATTCTATATGTACTACATCTTCATGATATAATGATCTTTTACTGGACATCTAGGTTGATCCAAATATTAGGATCTGAGTGCTGAATGCTGCAGTAAATGCGGATATGCATATGTGTTTTGGAATGAATGTTTTTCTATCCTGGAAGTACCACAAAAGGAGTTGCTGTGTTTTAGGGAATCTCTTTTTAAATATATTGAGAAATCATAGTACTGTTTTTCTATAAGGTTAAACTAGACATATTTCCCACCAGCAGTAGTTGAAAGTTTGTTTTTCAGCACATCCTTACCAATACAGATTATCCCATTGTTTTTATATGTGCAATTCTCACTACTGTAAGATAATATCTCACTGTCGTCTTGATTTGGATTTCACTAATAAATGATGGTGAGAATTTTTCCATTTAACTGTTGGTCATCTGTTGGTCTTGCTCAGAGATGTCCCTGTTTGTTTCCTTTCCTCTCTTCATTTTTATGGTTTTTGTGTTTTTGGTTGCTAATTTTCATGAGTGCTTTACATATCTTGGATATCAACCATTTTTCCTATATTTCCAATGCAAATATTTTCTCCCATTCAGTAGCCATGTTTTAGTTTTAGTTTTAGCCATGTTTCTTTAGCTGTTGGAGTACAAGAAGCTTGTGTTTAATCTGGTTACACCCATCACAGTGCTCCTGAAGCACTTCCACTTCCATTGTGTTTATCTGTAAGCAGTCTTCCCTATGCTCTCCTTCTCACCCAGTTAATCAGCTTTCCCCTTAACCAGACTTTGTTAATTTGTAAGATCAGTTTCCCAGAAATCTATGATTTTATATGTATGAGTGAAATATTGCCTTTCTCCTCTCCTTATGCCTTATGAACAGTTTACCTTAAAGTAATATCCTTTTTGTATAGATACAGGAAGACCGTTAACATCATGCTTTGTAACTTAGGATTTGATTGGATTTGAATATTATTCACTCCCAGGCATCTGCTTTCTCGACTTAAGCCTCAGTTGCCCTTAGTTCCTAACACCCCAATAGCAGGGTCCCGACGAGGGACTGAATGGACCCAGGGCAAGTGGTGAGCTACCCTGGCAGCGAAATGGGCCAGGCCAAAATGCCACGATTCTTAACTATAAGTTAAGAGTTTGATCATAGACAAATGCTGTCATGATCCAAAGGTAACGACGAGACTAGGATCCTGCTAGGGTGGGAAAGACTATCTGGCCTGAGCACTGTAGTCTGAGATCGAGATGGCCCTAGGAGAGCAATTCTATAAGTTTAAGATATTTCTTACTGTATCCATACAAAATGATTTATATTATATATGCTTATATGCTTGTCGGACAAGGAGAGGTGAGACACACCCTTGGGATTTCGCTCTAGGGTGCGTCCTCATGCTGAGAGAGGATCTGTCCTAGGAGCGGCCTTCCCTGAGTCTAAGATTTCTACCCCTATTGATTTCTATCCCTATTGATTGTGACTGCACCTATGTGTAATTGTTTTTGCCAATTCCTCTTGGAAAGAGATATAATGAGACTGTAGATTAGGCATAGGGGAGCAGAGACAGAGAGAGACAGGAGCAGAGACAGAAGTAGAGACAGACAAGAGAGACTGGTGTAGATGGAGAGAGGAATGAAATAAACTGCTACTAATGCCAACCAGCCTGGCCCTCGTTTCCTTCCTCTGCCTGACCATCCCCATCGACCTCCCTGGGGCAGGAGAAGGGTGAGACTACCGAACGCGGGCAGCGGGAGAGATAGAGCCACCACCGCTGTGTGCCGTGCCCCCCTCCTTGTGTGAATTTACACATTTAGCCATGTAGAAACACTTTAATTTGGCCTCATCCCATTTGTTTATTTTTATTTGTTGTTTTTGCTAGTTGCATTATATCATTAAAGATCCCTTTGAGGTTCAGACCTTGGAGAATTCTGTCTATGTTTTACTTAATGTATTTTGTAGATTCTGGTCTGATCTCAAGGTCTTTGAGCCATTTTAGATAGATTTTTATGTAAGGTTAGATATGGATGCAGTTTTGATTTTTTTGCACATGGTTATCCAGTTTTGCCAGCACCTTTTGTTGTAGATTCTTTCTTTTCTCCACTTCATGCTCTTAGTGACTTTATCAAAAATTGGTTGAACAGCCACTCCCATTAACCACATCATTCTCCAGATGGAAAGCCTTGTGCCCAGGACACTGCTGGATTTTCCTTCAGGAACCCCTGTCCATAGATCAGGAAGTCACCCTATATGATGTCATTTCTAACTCTCCAAATTCAGATGTAAGCTTCTGAGCACTGGAATTACATCCACTAGCTTTCTCTCACCATGACTAGGATGGAAAGCCCTGTGCTTGGAACCCTGAAGGTTTCTCCCTCAAGAAAACTACCCCCTAGATTTCTAGATTTCTAGATTCCTTAAGTACCACATTAAAGTTGGGAGAATAAATGAACAGGAACTTCATTGGGAAAGACTAACAGATAGCCAACAGGCACAGGAAAAAATTCTCACCATCACTTATTAGGGAAATCTAAATCAAAAAGAAAATTAAATACCATCTTGTCCATTGATAATGGTACATAAAAATAATGAGAACAATCTGCATTGTCAGGAATGTCGTGAAAATGGAACTCTCATCTGCTGCTGGTGAGAATGTCAGTTCAAAACTTATGGAAAACAATATGTATAATTATTAAACTTAAAATTGAGATACTCTACAATCTAGCAATTCTACTTTAGGGTATCCACTCACAGGATAGAAAAACATTCATTCCAATGGACCTTTACACACTAGAATTTATTTCACCTCTCAGTACAATACCTAAGATTTGGGATCAACCTAGATGCCCAATAATAGATCAGTGGATCAAGAAGGTGTGGTACATAGAGAATGGAATAGCACATAGCTGTAAGTATTGATGAAATCATATATTATTGGTTATATTTGGCATTGGGCTGGAGCGATAGCACAGCGGTAGGGCGTTGGCCTTACAAGCGGCCAACATGGCCGACCCGAGTTCGATTCCTCCGCCCCTCTCGGAGAGCCCGGCAAGCTACCGAGAGTATTCGATATGCCAGACACAGTAACAACGAAGTCTCCAATGGAGACGTCACTGGGCCCGCTCGAGCAAATCGAAGATCAACGGGGGGCGTTTACCTTTTTATATTTGGCATTTAGAGTAACTGGATGAGAAATTTCAGTGGTTTAAAGAAATATGTTAGATCACTCTTGGCCACAGAGTATAGGGTGCAGAAAGAAAGAAGTAGAGTGAAGAGGAAGGGGAAAAGAGTTAAGTGAGGAACAATGGAGGTAAGGGTTAATAATATTTAGGTATATTGGTGGAGTTAAGGAATTATAGAGCTAAATACCCAAATCACAGTGTCAACAACACTGAAATAAAGAGACCCAAACTTTAACAACCAAATTTAAAAAAGGTGCCTGTCAAGATTGCAGGTTCGGGTTGGGATGGGGTTGGGGTAGGTTAATGAATTTGAAACACTTGCTGCAGTAAAATTGACATGTAGTGGGATTGGTGATGGAACACTGTATGTCAAATTTTGTAGTTCAGAATGTTTTAATAAAATTTTGCAAATTATTAGCTAACTATATTTGCAGATTTGGTTTTGAATATTCTATTCTGATACATTGTTGTTGTTTAATTCTTTGCATTACTTACCTATGATTTCTGTTTGTCTCTGCATTTCCAATGCTTTAAGCTTTGTAGATGTCTAGAACATCTACTTGCTGGTTTTTCACACATTTTTCCATATTTAATAATATTTCCCTTTCTCTTGCCCCACAACAACCTGGCATTTATCTAACATACCTAATCCCTAAAGTTACCTTCTTTGGAACACAGTTATTGCTATTACTCTGCTCCCATAAAAGCTTCCCCTCATAATTGTCTACCATTCAGTTAACACAAAGCCCGTTGATTTACTTACAGATGTGTATCCTGCATCCTGCATTAGATTGACCTTTTAGGAACTGCATCACTCCCCCCACACCCTTGATGTGTTTGACTGAACAAGTACTTAAATATTTTCTTTTAATAATGAGTTATATAAATTTAATTTGGAATGATATTCAATAATAGAATTGTTCAACGTTTCAATGTTTACTAGATGAAATATATAGTTATTTGAACCAAAATATCAAGTCAAAGGCAATAAAATTGTCCTTGACCCCTTCCAATGCTTCACATGCCACTAGAAATGAGGGTCTATTTGTTTTTAACTATTATCTTTTTCAATTCTCCCCCATATACCAGAAGCATCTTTAATGAATAAGTCTATTTTGCTAATTCCCTATGATGCAGATACAAATATTAACTCCTTAATTATTCTTTCACTACTAGTAATATTCTGGTGGCAATTTTTAGTTTTAAAGATCTAACTCAAATAATTCCTTCTTTTAGGAATATTTAATTAAAAATTTCTCATTCTTTCTCTCTAACTCTGATCTCTGTTTAACATAAAAGCTGTTTCATATAATGTAATTCTTAATTATTTTATCAGTATAATTAATGCTTATTATTACTGTTATATTTGTGTAAAAGACTGGATCTCATTTTACACTGGCACTAAATATTTCATCCACCTATCTTCCCAATAATTAGGTAGCTAATTGAGGGGGAATAATAGGGATAATACCTGACTGCATGAACCAGGAGTAACCCCTGAGCATCGATGGGTGTGACCCAAAAAAAGGTAGCTAATTAGTTTCAAAATACTTACTGTGTACTTGAAAGTTTAATGGATACAGAGACAAACACCATGATAATCTCCTTTAACATAGATAGAAAACAAAATCTGTGCAGCAAATAACTAATCTACTGAGAAATTATGAAACTTGATATTAAAATATCTCTATAAAATGTAGTTTTATCCCAGAAAAGAGTATTATCCTTGTCTTAGATGAGAAGAAATAATTATATGGAACAGGTAGCCTCTACAGGCTGAGAACAAAATTATAATGAGAAACATTTCAAGTGAAGATATATCACTGCAGAATTATGATGCCATAGTGTGAGGTCCACCAATGGAGAGAAAAAAATAGACATTTGTCTAGAAAGAGGTTAGAGAACAATGGTAATAAGTGATAAGGAATAAAGAGATATGCCTGGGAAACTACTATATCATGTTACTCTTGTCACTCTTCCTTTAGTGAATTCCACGTATGCAATCCTCATTCCACTGTATCCAGTGTTCCTATATTGTATAATACAGGACATGATGCAAGAGAAAGCTGTGTGTAAAATCTGTTTTCTTAGGTTTAATTGCACAATGAAGTTAACCTCTTGGTTAGAGCTGAGTAGTGATCAGTGGTTTTAGGAATGCGACCTGATTAATATTAGGTTTAGGTTTTGTTTAGAACATCTCAGTTGTATTTCTCAACAAAAGCACATCCATACCATGCATCCGGTTAGAGTCCTGGAAACCCTCAATATCCTTTGAAAGTAGATGGGGATTCAACATAGCAACTACTTGATTGGTTTTGCTGTACCAGCTTTTATTTTCATCCAACACAGAGAAAAGTAGAAAAAATTCTTTATCCACTCCTTTCTGTAGGTGCATGAAAGAAGAACACAGGGCAGAAAAACAGCAGTTTTACTACTTCGAATTGTGCAAGAATCAGGGGTACCTTGTTCTTTCTTATTTATTTTTCTAGACACAGAGTGAGCCAAATTCAAATCTTCTGTCAAATACTGTAGTTTTTGCTAGACAATTTTACCTCAGGTGACCTCAAGTTTCAAGTTGATGAAGGAAGTGAAATATATCACAAGACTGTATGGGAGAAATATATGAAAAGAGCCAGTAAGGAGACATAAGATTAAGATTAAAGTCAGGAGGTAAATAGTGTGGTGAAAAAGAAATTACAGTCCTGTGGAGAAGAGCGCAGAAGTGCAGGAAGACAGGAGAGAATCCTTCAGAAGATATTATAAAAATGAGAAAACATAATATTTTTAGTATGTTACTGTTCTTATTTAAAAGTATTAATGTGGTTATTTTTTACAGAAAAATTTGCTAGTGCTTACTTTGTAAGAGATATTGTGCTAATAATTTTATAGGAACTTTCAAAATTAATCCTTATAGAAACTCAAAGTATATTTTTATTGTTAATTTTTTGTGAAGGAATTGAGGCCATGTTAGGTTAATTTTTCAAAGATTATGCATAAAGAAATGATGAACTATGAGGATCAAAGAGATAAAAGTATAAGGACTCATATGCAGCTAGCTCTGGTTTGTTTCCCGTCATTAATATAGGTTAATGAGCACAGAACAAGGAGTGGCCCCAAGCAACGCAGATATGTCCCCTGCCTCCTCAACATTATTGACTCTATGATAGAAGACAGATTGTATCAAAGCAGACTTAATAAATAGAAGCAAGTTTTAGGAGACACTGCGGTTGAAACAGAGAGATTGGAATCTGAGAAATAGCACAGGAACAAAGGTGCTTTTCTTACTTATGGCAGACCCAGGTTTATTTCTAGCACTGCAACTAATCCTCAATTCACGAGTAGAATTAATTACTGAGCACAAGCCTGGAATAACCTGACCACATCTAGGTGTGCCTCCAAAATAAACAAAAGTTATGGTGGTGTATGAAATAGAAATTAATTGAGATGAAAGAAAGTTAAAGAATAACAATCAAGGGGCTGGAGCAATTGTACAGCGGGTAAGGTGTTTGGCTTGCATCCATCTGACCCAGGTCCGATTCCCAGCAAACCATATGGTCTCCCCGAGCACCGCCAGGAGTAATTCCTGAGTGCAGAGCCAAGAGTAACTCCTGTGCATCGCTGGGTGTGACCCAAAAAGGAAAAAAAAGCAAGATATCATCACTTCACTAAATATTAATTATTGATAAATATCTTAGTTAAATTACTCTCTATTGCCTTTCATATAGAAATAAAACCCATGATTAACTCCTCTTTAGCAGTCCAGCTTCATCCTCTTCCCAGTGGGGAGAAAATCAGTCAGAAATCCTGCTAATATACCTGTTTGCCATCCGAACCTAAGGCACCTTCCTTGCACACCAGAAGAGGGCCCACCAGACCCGAATTTGTATCTCTTATAGGATCTACAGCAGAGAAATACATCCAGGTGAGACAGGCAGGATCCTGAGCAGTGGGTCCAGCTTGATGGGGAACTATCCACTGGTATGTTACTTTCTCAAATGTCTTGGCCACCAAACCGCGGTGAGATAAGCCTACAGAGAAGACACAGTATTCATATCTTTAGTTCAAAGAGCCTAGTATCATAAACTACAAAACATTTTGGAACAGTATAAGTTATAAAAGGAACATGGAATATTGAATATTGAAATGTATTAGGATCAAGAAAATTGAGTTTGGTTTCTTCAAGTTCTACCACAACTTGTTTTATATCTGGGGCCATATTGAAGGTCTCCCCAATTATTAATAGAGAACAAGGTAAATGAATTATGACAAATCAACATGATGGAATAGTATATTATTGTTAAAGTGTTTAAAACATTTGGCAGTTATGTCGATTCACCCACTAGCTCTGTTCTACTGATTTCCAACTAAATCTTTCACCAGGTTATGAACACCAAGTAACTAAAATTTATGAATTCACTGTTCTATACAGCTTAAAACTCCCCCCCCCCAAGAGACAGACAAGCCAACACCCACGCAGCAAAAGTTCTGGCAGCCGCAACCACACCCCACCAATGCAGGCATACTAAGGGCACAAATCCACTGCTTCACACAGATTCCTCCAGAAACGCCACTCTTTGAATAATTTCAGGTACCTGGTACCCATGCTGAGAACTCTGGTGGTTTTTAGAGTTGGGGCCTCTTCCCACACTCCCATACTTCTGGCTGCATATACAGCAACACAACACCTCTAGTACAATAAACAGCTTAATAAATTCTTACTTAGACAAAAACTTAGTGACTTTGCGATCAGATATAACAATTTTCATATAAATAAATTTTAGGTTTATTGATTTTAATATTGAAGCTTCTTATCTAATCAATTTTAATCATAGAACTGTATCAACAGAACTTATTTCTACATTAAAGTAAAAAATGGAAAAATAAAATTAAAAAATAAAATATTTTTGTGGCATGGAAGCAATATATTGTCAATATAATTGAAAACAGTATGATACAAAACTAACAGCTTATCTTCATAGATGAATACATATTTGCAATTTTATAAACAGAAAAATACTAAAATTTTTAAAAATATAACTGAACATTTTCTGTGAACGTTGACTGGTTTATGATTTTCTTTGTATTTTAAAATTCACAATACACAGATTTCTATTGTAATCATAATTAAATATATTTCAAAAAGTTATCTCTGAGTACAGTTTCCCTCATAATATTATGCATTCATTCAATTGCATCCATACAGGACAATTAATAATGCATACTTTCTCCTTTTCCTTATTTGTCATCTCCTACTTGTCTGGTGTTGCCATCTGAAGTCCACATTAATTGAAAACCCTGCCTTCTTACCATCGTTGTATATAGTTCCTTCGTTGTTTTTCTCATAAAACACCCCATGAGGTTGTATGCTGAATGGTCGGGAGGCACGATTATAAAAGGTCACATTAATGGTGTCACCGACTTCAGCGCGGATGACTGGCCCTGAAAAATGGGTAGGAGAGACTGTAAGCAAAATGACTGATGACCAGGTTTAAATAAAATTATAGGAAAAGATAATAATAACAAATGGAAATTTAAAAAGATAAATTCTGGGGCTGGAGCGATAGCACAGCAGGTAGGGTGTTTGCTATGCATGCGGCCAACCCGGGTTCGATTCCCAGCATCCCATATGGTACCCAGCACTGCCAGGAGTAATTCCTCAGTGCAGAGGCAGGAGTAACCCCTGTGCATTGCTGGGTGTGGCCCAAAAAAGCAAAAAAAAAGTTAAATTCTTTTCAATAATAATCTTATTAAATTCTCAGTGTAATGTAATTTAAAGTTATATGAAACAATTAAAAATCCATTTTACTGGGGTATAACGCCAGCAGGTCAACTTGTTCCTGTGAGGCAAGTGAATTAGCAGCCTGATGGCACCGTCAGGCTTTCAGATACCCCAAATTGCTGCTGTACCTTTGGCCAGATCCCAAAAACTTGGGGCAAAGTTTACCAAGAAAGTAAACGGCCAAAAGTTAGGTATGTGGGAGACACACCCACAAACCACCTCTGGCTCAGGTATATAATTGGAGGCATGGCCTCTCTGGTTCCTGATCGAACTGCTTAACGGCTATGATCCCAGAGACTCAGAACCGAATCTCGGAACTCAAAGGTTTTTGGCAGAAATGCATCCTGTTCCTGCAGTAGGTTACTGGCACTGGGCCACTCCAGGTGGTAATAGGTTTTGTGCCTTGGCCTGTTCCCCTTGGCGGCCCAGTGACCACCAACCTCCAGAAGCCACTGGACAATCAGGTTTGGGCCTGCAGTGACGAGACACACGTGGTCTCACCAGATGGGGGTGGAACCAGCCCTTTCCTCCCCATACCAGTGAGACCCTGAGTCGCCGCCTACAAATGGCCTTTCTGGCTCCTGATCAAGCTGCTTAACGGCCATGATCCCAGAGACTCAGAAACAAATCTCGAAACCCAGCGACTTTTGGCAGAAATGCATCTGGACCGCATAGAAGGTGGCCGCCGTCTCAGAGCTTCCTGGAAAGCCAGGTATGAGCCGACGGTGACAGGACACATGCAGTCTTATGGGAAGGGGGGCAGTACTGGCTCATCCTTCATTGCCCTACCAAGATCACGAGTTTCCCCCCACGAGCGTCTCTCCGGCACAGCCATAGCTACAGAGACAAAAGAACTTAATCCAGAGCCCAGCAGCTTGTGGCAGAAAAGTGAATGGACCATGCGTTAAACTATGGCGCCATGCCTCCCCAGGAGGGAAAAAGTGTTGCTCCCTTCTGTCTTTTTCCCGCCCTATAGCAAGTGGGCTTATTGGAAAGCCAGGAATGAGCCGGCCGTTACGAGGCAACTGCAGTCTCCTGGGAAGGTGGGTGGTACTGGCTCGTCCTTCACGCCCTACCGAGGTCATGAGTTGCCCCCCACGAGCGACACTCTGGCCCGGCCATGGCTCCAAGAGGCAAAAGGACTTAATCCAGAGCCTGGCATCTTGAGGCAGAAAAGTGAATGACCATTCGTTAAACTACGGTGCCATGCCTCCCCAGGAGGGAAAGGGTGTTGCTCCCTTTGCCTTCCCCCCCCCCCCCGGTACCAAGGTGGCCGCCACCTCAGAGCTTGTTGGAAAGTCAGGTATGAGCCGGCAGTCTCATGGGAAGAGGGATGGTACCAGCTCGTTCTTCACGCCCTACCACGGTCACAAGTTGTCCCCGATGAGAGGCTCTCCGGCACGGCCATAATACCAGACGCACAGAAACCAATCTCGTAATTATCTGACTCTTTGTAGAAATCCAAAATCGCGTGGCCGCTATTGCGGCCATAAGACATTACATGATTCTCATAACGAGCTATAGAAAATAAAGTATTTCACAATGCCTTTTCAGCCTTTCTGATTGTTGGGGGGGAAATTCTAAACAATAATGGTGCATCTTTTGTCTAAATAATGAATGTAATTAATATAGAGAAGAGTTAAGTAGAAATTATCTACCTCGCAGGCATTGGGAAGGGTGGGAGGGGGTATATTGGGGTTCTTGGTGTTGAAAAATGAGTACTGGTAAAGGGAGAAGTGTTTTATCATTTGTATGACTGAGACTTAAACCTGAAAGCATAGTAACTTTTCCCACAGTGATTCAATAAATAAATATTTCATTTTTCATTTCATCATCCTGTTATTCATCGATTGGCTCGAGCAGGCCCCAGTAACGTCTCTTTCATCCTAGCCCTGAGATTATATTCAAGGCTCTTTAGGAGAATGAGACCCATCATTGTTACTGGTATTTGGCATATTTGGTGCGCCACGGGGAGTTTGCCAGACTCTGCCCTGTGAATAAATAAATAAATAAATATAACAAGAAAAAATAAATAAAATTATGAAAAAAGACCATTTTAAGGGACCATATATTTCAGCAAGTAAAACATTTGCCTTTCATGTGGCTGAACTTGGTTAGATCCCTGGTACCTCATACCATTCCCTAAATCCACCAGGAGTGATCCCTGATTACCAGGTCAGGAATAAGCCTGAGCACTGCAAGTTGTGACCCCTAACAAACAAGCAAAATTTTTATTTTCATATATTTTAAGTACCATTTCAAGATACAGAATTCAAGGATATGCTTATTTTACAGGCTATAAAATGGCATCTGAGAAAATTAGATTTTTATCTTGCCAAGTTCAAAAGACTGATTAGGAATAGAACCTACACTTAAAACCATATATTTCTTCATCTACATGCCAGGTTTAATACCATTTCACCTTCTTTTACTGTTCCACTTCTCATTTCCTGGTAGTATTCCTGACTTCAATCTTTAGTTGATAAAAATATTATATATAAACTATACCAATTCTATACTAAATGATCCATCCATGATATCTGGAATTTTCTTTCCTTGCATTCCCTTGAACCTTGTATAGACTTTGAAATAGAGCAGAAACATCATTACAATACCTTGATTTTTTTCTTGTTCTAAACCAATTCAATTTCTGACACAGTTTCTACAGCTAATGCTCCAACTCTGTTTTAAGATCAGTAAGTCACTCACTGTAATTCATAAAAAATGATATCCAGAAGCAAGATAGAGAATCCTCTTTTTAAAAAAATTGTTTTTTGTTTTTTGAGCCATTCCTGGAAGTATTTAAGCTTACTCCAGTATCCGTGGGCAGGGAACACTCTTGTAAGGGCTTTGGGAACCATAGGATTGTAAGTGATCCAACTTCAGTATGTCTAATGCTAGCTGCATTATCTCTCCAGTCCCCAATTTTGATTTCTCAAATAATACAAAGACTGGATATAATGCATATAAATTACTACCAACAATGACAGCAAACATGCATTCTTCTAGACCATATGTTAGGCCAAAAGTCTAACAATAAATTAAAATAGATAAAATAAATTAAAATAGATAACAATCACTGTCACTATTCTCCTGTTGTTCATCGATTTGCTCAAGCGGGCCCAGTAATGTCTCCATTGTGACACTTGTTACTGCGTTTGGCGTACATATCAAATGCATCACGGGTAGCTTACCAAGCTTTGCCGTGTGGGCAAGATACTCCAGTAGCTTACCGGGCTCTCTGAGAGGGAGGAGGAATTGAATCTGGGTCAGCCATGTCAGCTGCATGCAAGGCCAATACCCTACCCACTTGTCAATGAAGTCAGAAACTAGTAACTATACAAAAAAGTCACAAACTGTAGAAATTAAATAAGGCTGGAGAAGAGGTTTAAGTGGTATAACACTGGCCTAGAACGTGTGAGGTCTTAGGTTCAGTCTTCAGCACTGTTCTGATCCCTAGGCATCACTGGGTGTGGCCTCCACAATAAGAAAAGTAGATTCAGGAATTAAATAACACATTATTTAACTATCAATGTATCAAACAATCCATAAGGGAAAATAGAAAATACTTAGACAAAATTAAAAAAAAACACAACACGCTAAAACTTACAATATGCATTAAATTGATGTTAAGAAACTTATTTTTTTATTTGATTTATTTTTAAAAAGGGGTGAATCTGGAGCAGTAGTACAGCAGGTAAGATGCTTTCCTTGCATAAAACCTACCTGGATTTAATCCCCAACACCACATACTGTCTCCTAAGTAATCAGTAGTGATGCTGAGCACAGAGCCAGAGGAAGTCCTGAGCACAGGCCGCGTAGCCACAAAACAAAACGAAAAAACAAATAAAAAACGAGAAAGATCTCAAATTGTAAATCTAACATGTTAAGAAACAAGACATAGGGGTTGGAGTGATGGCACAACGCGTAGGGCATTTGCCTTGCACATGGCCGACACGGGTTTGAATTCCAGCATCCCATATGGTCCCCTGAGCACTGCCAGGAGAAATTCCTGAGTGCAGAGCCAAGAATGACCCCTGAGAATAGCCGGGTCTGACCCAAAAAGAAAAAAAAAGCTAAAAGAAAGAAGAAAATAATGAAAATTAATGCAAGTGAAAATTAACAGAGTTAAACTAAAGTAAAACTTTAAAACAAAAAATGGTTATACAACATAACAAATAAACACTGTCAAATTAGTCCTTGAACAAAGGGAAAAGTATTAATAAAATTAATTATCTCAAAAGTAAAAATAGGCTCTTTCTCACCATTGTCAGACTCCAGATGGCAAGCCTTAGATCCTGAAGGCTCCTTTTTTGTCTACCCCAGACCCTAGTTCTAGAAGTTTCCCCACGTGGTACCAGATCCAATTCTACAAAACTGTATGAACCCATTAGCTTTTGTGTGAGATCATTACTGTATGCACTTTATATTGAAGCCAAAGTATGCAACAAAAAATTTTAAGTTACCTTATAGAGCACTATATCTCAACCAACTAAATGGAAAGATAAAACCCCCTTGCCATCCTATAATAGCACTACATAGTAAAGTAAATAATCTGAACAATGGAGGTATTATCAGTAGTCCTCTGGTATAAACAACTGAACATATCAGTTCTTAAGTAACTTTGAATCTAAAACTCCAACATTAACTCACAAAAACT